AACGAGCAGACGACGCCGAGAGCCAGCCCTTTAGCAGACAAAGAACTGCAGTTCCTTGCTGTTACCGCGCCTGTTTTTTTTTTCTTTTTTTTTTTCTTGTTTTTTTTGCGACTGTCGCCGCTTGCGGAACGCGCGCCGCTTTTGAGTCGAAAAGATCGCGTCTGCTAAAAAGGCCTGCTCTCGGCGCCGTATGCTCGTTCGTTGGCGGCGTTTGTTGCGCCATCTCTTGTCTCCCGTGCGAAACGGCGCCGTGTTGTTTGAAGACCGGTGGCGTCGCTGCGTTTCCATAGGAGCTAAGCCTTTTTCCTTCTTTACTTTTTTCCTCAAGTAAGTTCGCTCTTTGCAAATTTTACAAAAAAAAATGCACCATCTGTGGGCAACGCTGCACAAAGTCGTAGCGCGGTAGGTTAAGAAACCGAATTTTCCGGTCGATTTAAAGAGCCTGCCGTCTCCTTGAATCACCCGGTATATTTATCGCAAAATATTCAAATTATACTCAAAAGAAAGAGCTTAATTGGAGCTTTACGGTGATGTAAAGATCATAAAATTTTGTTGATTGGGTCACATAGCAAATATCGCCGCAGAGAGGCGGTTTGACGATTAAAACAAAAAAAAACAGTAAGGATCTTATGGCCTAGACGCTTAATTAGCATAAAAAATGAAAGTCGTTTACAACTTTCTGTAACGCCGAATTAGAGCGCAACTCTTGAGGAGGAGGAGGAAAGGGTGCTGAGGGTCACGTGTTCTCGGGGGGGTCACGTGACCTCAGGGGTGTCACGCTTAATCCCCCAGAGAAATTTTTCCGCTAGATTTAGCGGAAAAATTTTTCCGCTAGCTTTAGCGGGGAAATTTTTTCGCTAGATTTAGCGGGATTTTTCCGCTAGATTTAGCGGGGAAATATTTGCGCTGGGGGAATTATTTGCGCTAGATTTAGCGGGGGCATTTTTCCGCTAGATTTAGCGGGGAAATTTTTCCGCTAGATTTAGCGGGGAAAATTTTCCGCTAGATTTAGCGGGGAAATTTACCCATAATGCACCGCGCGGTTACGGCGACGGCAACGGTGACGCCGCTCAAGCCGGAAACGGGCGCCTAAGAGCTGCGCTCTAAAATAATATGTCTAGAGTGTTCCCAAAAAGTTATATTGATGTAGCGTAAAAAGTAGGGAAAAGGGATGGAGTGAAATATGGCACACCCGATAAGCTGGAAAAACGTCAGTTTCCACCTTGACCGCTTCAACGGTCTATAACTTGAGAACAAAAAATCCGACGAACTAGCCGTTTGCGTCTTTCTTTATTATAGGATTTGCCTAAAAACATATATTTTTTTTTACAACATTCAAAATTTGACCCAAAATTCGTGCCTGAGTTGAGATGAAATCACCCATATGGTTACGGTCCAGGAAGATAAAGTTCCACAGCTATTTCGCTTGCGGTAGCTTTAACTTCGGTGAACATTTGGTTGAACTTGGTGTCACAGATCTCTTTTTTAGCCTCCAGTTGAGAGTCGTGCAAGAGCTCAACCGCAGTTTGCCGATGCAGGGTCTCTTTCTATGGGAAAGCCCGATCAATGGTTGTGTGAGGGCGAAAATGTCAATCATTGAGATCAACACAACCAGGAAATTGCTAGATCTAAGTGCAGTAATCAAAGTGCTTGCCTCACCTGCAGATCTGGTTCTTTCAGTTTGCAATGGTTTTCAGTGCTGCAAGAATATCCGCCAAGGATGATCTGAATTCTAACACGGCACTGTGCTGCTCTACCCATCGGGTTTCGCAAAGCCCCGCCACCTTTTAGGACCCGTCAGAGCACTGCATTTTGTTCTGACGGCGACGTGAACAAAACGCGGTTGCCGCAATTATTCCCATGAAATTTCGCAGGTTTTAAACAGAGGATGACTACGAAAGGGACAAATTCAAAGCATGGCTGAAACGGGGACACCGCACGGCGTTAACGGCTTCTTTTTTAATCTCTTAAATTGGGACTCAAGTTTCAGAAGTCATAACGCTGCAGTTATCTGTTCTGATGCCAACGCATTGCGCCGAAAGCAATCGCATGGAGTTGACTCCTTTTTTTACAATTTTCCCCAGGACTTTTTTTTTTATCAACGACAACTTATATGCCGAGCTGGAGCCTTCAACTAAAAAATTTAGGTTATTCCCCATTAAAAAGTTGAGATGATAGTAAAAACCGATCAATTACTCTGCCTCGAGAATCGAAACGAGTATCGCCCCACATGAGATGATGGGCATTAAAATCACCTAGAATTAAAAAGGGTTGAAGGAGTTGTCCCACAAGTCCCTGGAGTTCATAGAGATGCAAGGGAACGTTTGGAGGCAAATAAATAAAAACAATCGTTATACGATTCCTCGCCGACTTTTTCTCCAGGTGTCCGGATTAATGCCCCAGCACGCGGTCCTCCAAAACCTGCGGTGAGAGCCGCCGATAACATCCAAAGTCATACAGCTAAGCGCTTGGAAACATTACCAAAGTGCAGTAGTCAAATATGAATTCAACAGCCAACCAGCAAGCAAAGCCGACACTAGCTTGCACCACTCACAAACTACCCGTATCCTATGACTGAATTGACAAGAACATTCAAACAGAGGACAGAAAAATCAAAATCCTGCTTCTAAATCTAAAAAGCACAAATTTTTTTTTTTTTTTTTTAAGTAGCGTTTGACATTTGTCGAGCTCCTCGTGACTTGCTTTTCCAGTGATGTCTTCAATTTCTGCCACCAACAAAGACACGCTGACAGCCGTCAATATTTTTTTTACGATTCTTTTTGTGTGCTTTAAGCGTATTGTTAACAGCAACAAAAACAATCAAACAAATAATGGCTCTTTAGCCCTTTGGATCGGTCAGCTGGTGAACTCCTCCATGCCGACTCACTGACGCCAAGCCGTACTGCACATAGACGTAAAGTTTATTTATTTGTGTCGTTGTTATTGAGCTCTCGCTGCCGTTTGTTTAGTCAACACTGTACCACTGACGCCACCTTAGCAACGAATAAATTGACTTCGTGCCGCGACTCACTGAAATAAACACGGCTTAGAATTCATTGCGTCGAACCGTTTTCTTTTGAACTGGTAACCGGTGCACATGACATTATGGTTACGTTCCGGTTCGGGGTTCATATAAATTATCAAACGTTCGATTTTGGTTACGGTGTGTTCCGGTTTAGTCAAAATAACAGTTTTGATCTGGTTCTTGGTTCATGTTGGGGTTCGGTTCAATACCCTGAATAAAAAACATAGAGACGGAAGACAGACCCACACAGATATGTATGTTTGTATCCTTCAGTGTTTTTTTTTTTTTTTGCGTCAAGTTTATTTTTTAGTGGCAGTGTTGAACGCATTGGCGTTCCAAGCAACGGCGTTCCTGGAACGCGTTCCTTTTAGGAGGAATGAAGGAACGCCGCCGTTACATTTTGCATCGGTAGAACTTGTTACATTTTTTCTATAACGTAAAAAGGAAGGGCGTTCCTTTTTTTTTTTTCTTGTCCAGTGGGGAAATTTTAAAAATATATAAACAATATCTTTACGAAGAGCAGGATCTCTTTGACTTTTTGGTTAGTTATCTTAGCGTTTATTTTGTGTGGTTCTCGCTTGGTAACAGCTGGGTGCAGAAGAACTAGTGGACATCAATTTTTCTTTTTCAATGCCCGAGATTCCGGTACAAAAAGCAGAACTTTTGGACGAAGGAAAAGACACAGAAACAGGGACGTTTCAAACTCCGCTACTTTCTTTGCTTCCACGAATCATTATACACCCAGAAATCTAAGGCCGACTACATCCATCACCAAACTTCCACGAAGAGACCTACAGTTACAACAAAAGAACACATTACCGGACATAGAACGCACCCTTGTATCCCGAACATTGGTCACTTAAAATGTACACAAAAATTAACCTTTATTCCTTCACCCCTTGTCCCCCACCTTCAAACAGAACACGGGTGGCCAGGCTGACCCGGCCTAAGAGCCGCAAACAAAACCACAAAACTTTCAAGAGCCGCAAGGAAGAGGAAAGGAAGAAAAAGGCGGGAGGGGTCTTTTGTCTACAGCAATAAACGAAACTCGAATTACTTTCAATCTATCCGAGTCAAAAGCAGTCCAACTGTATGTAAGGTAGCAGTAGCACAAGACTATCAAACCGCTACCTTTCTCAATTTAAAACGCGTTCCATTTCTCTTTTTGGGGAAGTGCTCGTGTGACCTGGAGGGAGGCGGGTGTGTGTGCGTGCGTGTGTGTGTGTGTGTGGAGGGGGGGGGGGGGGAGGGGGGCGTGTTAGTGGAGGGAGCCGCGAGCCGCACTTTAACATGCGAAGAGCCGCTTGCGGCTCGGGAGCCGCAGCTTGGCCACCCCTGAAACAGAACAACGAGCCCAACCTTCACGAAGAAAAGGACTTGTGGTTTTCAAGATCTTCCAAAAACCCTACCCTCTTCTTCACTTGCTGGTCTTGTGGACAGCAACATCGAGAAGCAACTGTTGTTAAATTCTAACAAGCAACTTTGTTAGATTGAAACGTGTAAAACTGTTGTAAAGCGCACGTGCAATGAGGGGTAACAGTACATTTGGCTCGTCTGAATCGCCTATACCACAAACATGAATATGGTTAAAAAAGCTGAGCTTTTAAGAGGCCAATATATCAACAAATGAAACCCTGCTTTTGCTTGTTTTCTTCTCCTGGTGCCCTTTCATCACGGCATTCAAATTCGTATGTTGCCATTTAATGAGATAGTTAAAAAAAAGTTTGCTCGATTTAAAGAAATATGGTAATCAGCAAAATACAAATGTAACGTATATGTAACTATACGTTCCTTTTTCACATATGGAACTTGTAACGGGAACGCGTTCCAAAAATCAGAAGGAACGAGAAACGAACTTTCTTTCCTTTTTCTTTTTTCTTTTTTTTTTTTTTTTTGAGGAACGTATACAACATTGCTTAGTGGTCTATAGTGTATTTGGGACGCCTGTCGAAAGTTCTCTTTCATTTTCCCGCAGCGGCCCTTTCTGGTGGTCATGGTGGAGTCCGGCGGGCGGAGCCGCGCGCGGCGCATGGTCGGCCTCAACTGCCAGGAGAACTCGAGCGAGGAGCGCTGCTGCCGCTACCCGCTGACGGTGGACTTCGAGGAGTTCGGCTGGGACTGGATCATCGCGCCCAAGCGCTACGAGGCCAACTACTGCAGCGGCGAGTGCCCCTACGTGTTCATGCAGAAGTACCCGCACACGCACCTCATCCAGCAGGTGAACCTGTCCGGCACCGGAGGTCCCTGCTGCGCCCCGCGCAAGATCTCGGCCATCTCGATGCTCTACTTCGACGACAACCACAACATCATCTACGGCGTGCTGCCGGGCATGATCGTCGATCGATGCGGCTGCTACTGAGCCGAGAGCGGGACACAACGACCGAGACGGACCGGTCTCGCGCAACCGCCCACGTCGCTTGCCTGTGGCGCCGCCACAGGCGAGACTGCTCTTCGAGAGCTGTGTCTAGTACAAAGGATGGAAGACGTTCGTGCACGCCCGGTGCGCCGAGGCTCCCGCGCTGCCGAAGGCTGGGCGGGGCGGGCGTCATCGGCCCCGAGGACGGTGCGCCCTTCGCTTCGTCCTTCGCGTCAACATGTACCTGGACAACGCCCGATGAACTGTGATTCTTTTTCCAGATGGCGTTGTTGATGCGTGCGGGAGTGTGCACCGCGCGCTTGGCATTGAGCTTTATGTGTGTGAATGGGGTTCGCGAGGGATGGACCCGAAGGGAGAGTGGGCCTCTCAGTGACGGTCCATTCGGACCGGGCGTGTGTGTGCCCGTGGGACAGAAAGGTAGAAGCTATCAATTTTGTCTTTGTGCGCGCGCGGTCTAGGGGAACCGCCATGTGATCATGACGACGTCAGACCGGATCGAGACGCTGGTCTTCGACGTGGGGATGGTTCAAAGTAGGTCTACGTTGCGTCTCTATCTTCGTCGGAACAGGTGTCCACCCGCGCTGTCCAGATGGATACGAAAGAGGTATTCCATCAACGTGCCCGGTCGAGCAAACTCTGTGGTCGTGACTGACCGGCAAAGCCCACCGAGAGGAAGTCCAAAACAGATGTGAAACTTAAACGGTGCTATTCCGGTTATATGCATAATCGCGTTACCCTCCCCCCCAATCCCCCCCCCCCCTAAAAAAATGCGACAAATTGGATGTTTGTAACAGCCTCCCTGGTATGCGGTAGTACCTGCGTCGCAGATCTAACTGGGGGTATTCACTGGGCATCATATTTGAGTCCATTATTCAAAGGGCATGCTGAGAACGAGCTCACGCTTATAGGCTCCGCAAACTGGCAATCTTGATGGCGTGGAACGCGCGTTAACGTGGAAGCTCACCCTCAGCACGCGCTAAGCAGCTAAGCGCTCAGCTATGGTTGCTACGGTCACCAGTGAATGCCCCCTATACACTGCTTGCACGTGATGTCGTCGCATCATGTTCGTGGTCATTCCAATTTGTCCTGGCCGAGAAACACAAATTCGATGTTGCGTAACGTATGTTTCAGAAAAAATAGGTAGGTGCTCCACAGTCAGGCCACCTCAAGGGCCGCCGGTAAGACGTCGCTGCAAGCCTCGTATGTCGACATCCTTTCGTATTTTTGCACTTGTTCGACTACTTCGGCACTGGCTTCTCCATAAACGGCAGACAGCGTAGAACCTGTTCACCGTCCGGCTAATAGACGCAGGGAAAAGCACTGTTTTGAACGCCTCGGAGAAAGAACGATATAACCATCGGAAAACACGCTTTAAACTTTGTTTCTTTCAAGAACACTTAGCAGTCGCGTGTTAAGATTAATTATACCGTTAGTTAAAACAAACCTAAATAACGCATTCGATAAAATTTACACCAAGTACGACCACTCCAGTTTTTGGCAAGACATTAATTGCATCATTTGCGATATCAATACATCATTTACGAGTCAGAAACGAGTAGGAATCAAAGGGAAACTAAAACTGCCCTGTGTTTGAGGAAAAACACTTAAATCGTTTTCATTTAGCCTCCAGGATCATGAATATCCAGATTATTTTTCAATTTTGTGCACAAACGCTGCAGAGTTTAAAGGGGATATGCACCGATTTTTGTGCTTTGCGGAAATACCGCTTAGAAGGGATGCCTGGCGTTGATGACCTGTAAAACACCCGTTCGTTTTTCACGAGACGCCATCGAAGTTGCAGAAAAAAAATCAAAGAAAAACGAGCAGCGTTCACCCTCTCAACTATAATCTGTTTCACCTTATGATGTACCGCAAGAAAGGCTACAAGCGCGAGCTCCTTGCTCTGGTGCCCATCTCGGCGGGACAAGCTCTTGTACGTTAAGAGTAGCCCCCTACGCTATGAGCTCGCGCTTCTAGCCTTGTCTGCGGTACAACGTAAGGTGAAACGGAGTATAGCGGCCAGAACAAGCGGCCACATGATCTGGAGCCGATTATAGGCGTTTCCACTGTTTACGAAAATCACAGTCCACACGCGCTAAATCACAGTCCAGCCAGCGCTCGCGCGCCATTGCGGCCAGCCAGAAAGTCCGCGTGCACAAACAGAGCAATAAACGCGCCCTCAAACGCTTTTATGGAAAGGTTGACATGCCGCCAATGTTGATCCTAGCCACGCGCTGGGTTGAAAAAGCACAGGACACGCGCTGAGTTCTAGATGTTGTTATGGTTCGTCTATTGTCGTCATTGCAGTGATTGGACACGGGCCACTACCCGAATGCTTCTCGAGTTTTCAATTATCACGAGCCTAAATTAAGTGCCTACGCAATGCTCGGGTCATACCTATGAACCACATACAAATATCGTCACTGGGAGGTACTGCGACTGCCCAGCTACGTCACTAAGTTTTCGGAAGGAGAGATTGAAAGAAAACGCTTGCTTTTGGCCTTGAAATTACACCGCAACAAAGAAGTTTCTTGGCCAGCGGCGTTGCGTCCGAGTATCCTTGAGTCCCACTAGTGCCAGTAAGCTCCTGTAAAGTTAACAACTTTCTAAATGAATATCGTTACAACGACCCTTTAAATTTCGAAATACCGCTGATTAGGAATTTTCGGAATCTCTGCTCTCGCGCATCTCCAGCGCATATCAAAGCTATGCACGCGCATTCCTGCTATTTTCATAAAGGTCTAAAAGAGGCGTCCCGACTGGTGTCAGTGCGGGGGAATATACCTGGCAAGCTTGCGTTTAGTTGCATCTTCGGGAAAAACGAACGAGATATTAAAATTCAGGGGATAAAAATACTCCAAAATTTACCTCTAAATTGTTTTCTTTTCTCGAGTGTTTCAACTTGTTTTAAAGTAAATTCAAAGAAAACTGACTGTGGTTTGAAGACGGCAGTCGTTCTAGAACAAGAACCTTGTAATCGGAAGTACGCACCCAAGGCTTGCTGCCAGAGCAATCAAATGATTCTTTTTAACACTTGCTGCAGTAACGATCCTTGCCGGCGTTTGGGTTGCTCCATTTTAATGGCTTATGCCTTGGCAGGTCGTGCATCTAACTCCAAGAAGATGGAGAAAAGACAGCGCTGTTTCTTGCGTCCCAGATCGAAATTCTTCGTATCTATTTCGGCTACAATTGAATTAACCATAAAATAATTAGTCACTTCGGCAAGATACTGTTTACATTTCATCTGTAAAGATCGCATTAAACATATCAGGTTCTCTCTTCCCTTCCCGGGGCACATGTGAAAAAACAAGAACTTAAATTCGTACAAAACGCTATAAATTCAAACAAAACAAAAAAAATGTCTGCTTCCCGAAAATCGCAACCGAGGACCTATTTGTTGAATGACATGGCTTTGGAAACCTTAAAATCACGCTCGACATTGAGCCCAAAACCGATGTTAAAAAATGTATATATAATAATAATGCAATCTACAATGTTTTATGGCGATTGTCGGTACTGGATAATTCCTGCACAGTGAACAGTCTGGAACATGCTGTGCGCAGAGAAACTGAGGGAGAGGAGGAGATGTCAGAACGCCGAGCACTGATTGGAGCGATTAGTGGGTAGACCTAAAGCTAGGTTCCTTTGTCAGCACTGCACTCGTCGAACACGTTAGAATGCGGTCGAGGTTAACGTAGCACAGTCGAGGGGCCAGGATCTAGTATGTTTCCTCAGGGTCTTGCAACTCATCTCTTTCTTGTTCATGGCATGGTGGTCGCCGCGTTCCCGGAAACGGCTCGTGTCGTTTAACGTTCACGGCATGATTCTGACCATGGGGCGTGCGATAGCACACACAACGCGAGTGGAGGCGCAGGCAGTATCGGTAGACTAAGATGTGCAGATTGCTGCCTAGACGTCATGGATGCAACACTGACCACTGCTCGGATCCTAGAGACGCTCTACACTGTAGTTAGCCGGAACAGCCACGTGGCCGACAGAAAAGAGGTGACGGGACGCGACCATCCGAACGCTGGTCGCTCAAAATATCATTGCTGCATTCCCACCGGGTAAAACACCAGTTTCTTTTCCAAGCGACTAAACGAGGAAGCCGAAAAGAAGCTTCCTTCTGCAGGTGCGGCGAGTTGGCATGTCGCAATCATAGGGTTTTCACAAGTGTGTGTGCTTAATTGCTCGCATCGAAGGGCGTTATGCGGCCTACAAGATCGTCAGCTTCATGTCCACCTCCTGCGTTCGTTTACCCGCAGAATGCACCAACCTGCTTCTGTTTCCCCAGACCTAAAGCAATGACGGTCCTTTGATTAGCCTCCCCTAGGGTTCTGCACAGGGCCGGGTAGCACGGATTGTTTCGGGCCCTGGCTCTGACCCGGAAACACGTTAATACTGAAAATGTTTACTCCATCGTGACTTCAGTTTACACTGGACTGCGTAGAATCTATGACTGGTATATGCTCTATAATGTTTCGAAACTTTTCTTCGTCTTTTTAACGATTGCTGTTAAGATCTCCATGTTGACATTCGCGTTTTTATGCCGACACATAACGTCTTGACAGCGTCTTTCATGCCAATAAAGCTAGACGAATCAAATGCAACAACACTTCCCCAAGGGCAGCTTTGAATTTAAGGGATGAGGCACGCCTTGGCTTCTCACCGGGCCGGGCGTGGGACAGTCCTGATCAGTTAGGCACCCCACCGGGTCGGGTTCGGGCCGGGCCTAATGAGGTTTGCATCCCAATGGGGCCAGGTCCGGGTCGGGCTTAGTGAGGTTTGCATCCCATTGGGCCGGGTCCGGGTCGGGTAAGGGGCGATTCACACACTTGCGTCGAGTCCAACCGAGTGGAACTGCAACGGCTTGCGACGTGCGGGTTGCTATAGGAACAGCTACATTGGCTCCAACAAAACGGGGTAAAAACCGGTTTCGTTGGAGCCGACGCAGCTGTTACCATAGCAAGCCGTAAAAGATTAACGTCGCAAGCGGTTGCAGTCGCCCTCGGTCGGATTGAACACAAGTGTGTGAATCGCTGTTAAGACTGAGTAAGAGTCAGCAGGCCCAGGCTGGACCTCAAAAAGTAGGCCCGCGGGGTGCTCTAAATGCCACCCCCCTCTCCCATCTTTGGTTCCGATGCGCAAAAGACGCCTTATGACGCACTCGCTCTCCGTATACGGGGACTCGGACAATCTTGAACAAGTCGCTGGTTGTCAGCTGTGGAGTGACTCCACTTATGACACGGCTGAGGTCAATTCTTTTCCGACCTTGATGAGGTTTGCAAGAACATTAGCTATTTCTTCCTCTGCTCCTAATCTACTTTAGCACGTAAACACATAGTTTGATTAGGCTTTTGAGAATTTATGGGAGCGACAAAAGAGAAATAGAGATAGAGAGAGATGTGACAAAAGCGAGGGTTCCATTTTGAGAAGATGGCTTATGGCTCCCACGCATTGAAGGTATATTTTGTGCCATGACATTTTTATCGACTTTTTTTTTCTTCGACTCGTCCAGGCGTACTGGTCTAACTAGGCATTTGACGCTGAACGTGTTGGCAATACGCATACTTAAAGATGGGGTCAATCTCGTTATGTTTTTCCCCAGTCTGAGCAACTGATCTCAGCCGTCGTTTTGTGAGTGTGCCCAGCACAGTTGGGCAGTGTATTTCTTCTTTTCTGTTTTTTTTTTTTTTCTTATCATTATCTTTTTATCTTTGTCGTCCAGAAAACCACCTTTTTGCAAAATATGCGGTGCCATGTACTTGTTCCAGTGTTTTATGTTTGTGCATTTGTCTTCATCGTGTTTTTTTTTTTTTTTTCTGCATTTTTAGTTGCGGAGCGCCAAGCTTCCAAATGTTCTCGTTCCAGTCCGTGTGCGCACCTAGACGCGGGACTGTAATTTAACTTTCGGACCAAGATTCTCATCCATGGCATCGCGCCGTTTGTTTTCGTGCCGTGTATAGTGCTGTGCTCATCGACATTTTATTTCTTTATTTCGGGACACCGAGTGGAAGTTTGGTGAGGAAAACAAATCCGGTGTGTAAATGTTACACCAATGGCAGAAATATGCTTTTACAGAGTCTGCTTTTTGTATTGTTTTATCGCATATTTCACTTGGTGACCTGTGATGCCATTTGTTTTATTGGGTTGGTTTAGACGGCAGCCCTATTCATCCCACCCTCCTTGAAGATAATCCTGACAAAACTAAGAGACCAGTCGCTGGCAAATGTTCTGTGATATTCTCAATAAAGCTATCGGTCATCTCGCAAGAGCGTTCTCGGCCTCATTGCTGCCTCAACCGGTCCGTACACGTGGCCGTGTGATGTCTCCTATTCGTGGTGACAGTGAGGCACGCCAACAACACCTAGAATGATCGAACCATGTGCACTAGAATTCTGACGTCATCACAGTAAGATCGAGCGAAGACGCTGATTGGATACGAGTGCTACGTCAGTGCTCGGCGGGACCTCGTGTCCAATGAGCACCTCGAAGGACGCTTGGCATCGGGCTCGGGTCCAATTGCCAAGTTTGGGCCATCCGACCGTGACTGACGACGTTCCGTGAAGGAAGGGGAGAATGTTCGCAGGCCTTGACTGTTCTAGGTGATCCCGACAAGCTTTTCTTGCGTTTTTCTCCTGGCTAATTCAGAGCCAGAACATTGTAACGTGAAGTCACGCACTGCCTGGTGTAGATCCACATCCACAGTTCTCTCCGGGCCATAACGCGCAAACTGCACAATACTACTGATAGGGAGGAAAAGCTTACTTCTCACAGACTCGTCACGGGTGAACATATTACGTGATAACACAGATAAGGTTCGCTTGACGCGAGTCGGCTTTTGAATACCAAGTTGCAAGACCCTTCATATGGAGTGAGATGGAGTAGATTTTGATGCACGGCCCCCGACTCAGCAGTCGTAGCGTCGGAGCGAGCAGCGGTCCTCCGTGTCTATACAAGGGATGCCTAAGAAATATAGTGAGCCTTCCTCTCAAGAAGAGTTCCCAGCCAAACGCCGCTTTAGGACTTCTCCGCGTAATCCCCCTAAGTGTAATACCCCCCCCCCTTTTTTTTTTTTTTCAGCGGTGTTTTAGAGCTACTAAGCTCTGGAAAAAAAAAAGGATTTGTCTTTGTCCTGACGCCATTAACATACATTGTCCATAACGGGACTGTCACTGTAGAAATTGTGTCCTTTCAGATGTCGTTTGAGTGCAGGGAACAGATGAGACTCTGACAATGCAAACTCCGGCGAGTTGGGTGGGATTACAGTTTAAAGTCACATTCATTGCACTGCTGCAAGGAGGCAGTATGATAGAGTGCATTGTTTTAGAGGAAAACCACGCCCCGTTCAAGTGTTCCGGAACGTTTCTAGGCAATGGTGGCCCTTAAATGTTTTTTGCAAGGGGGCACAAGAGTGTTGTGCTACAAACTGGCAAAATTGCAAGCTAACGTGCTAAGTAATTTCCAGAGGGGGGATCGGTGGCCGAGTGGGCTAAAGCGCACACCCAGCTCGACGCGCGTGGAGCGAAAGCTCGCGCTGCAGAACCCATGGATCCTGGGTTCGAGCCCCACCCCTCCCCGTTTCGATCTGTATGAGCATCATACCGGCGTGCGGTCGTGTATCACTACTGCGTGGTGCACGTTAAAGACCCCAGGCTAGCGGTTGTACTCCACTGGCTAAATTGCTCATCTACAGCGAGTGACTCGTCGCAACTTTAAATGGCAGACCAACTACACGCTGTATAAATATCCCCACAACCCAATTTTTTTTTAATTTCCAGATAGGGTCACTATACTTCTCAAACATCTCTCGTACATTAAAGCAGCCATAGCCTCCCTGAACGACCAGACAAACGGGCCCCAATGAAGCCAGCGAGCCGCTCCCGGCTGCCGGCTGCCATGGAGACCGTCAAACAAGGAACAACTAGCCGAAAGGTTTCCCGAAAGGCCAGCGTCGGCTACACGGATCACGGCGATCGACCGAGCCTCTGCTGCGGTCAGATCCGTAGGCATTCCGATCTGGAGCGCCCGCAGGACGACCGGTGTATCACGAGAGAGATGAGCGATCAATTCCGGAGAATGAGCTACGGTCGAACTTCTGAAGAGGTCATCAACTCTGCCAAGTGCTGGATGCAGCAAGAGGTGAGTCCGGAAGTGGCGGCCTTTCCACTAGTCTATTTATAGACAGCGGTGTCCTAAGTGCCAAAAAAGGAGGTATTCAAGTGACCTGATTGAGACGCAACACGGCACTCTATGGAATAGCAGCTTCGCTACTTTTGGTAACTTCTAACATTACTTTATTTTATTTTTTTTTAGAAAACTAATTTGTAGTTGAACTCCGTCTTTCATGAAGTAAGAAGAAAAACAACGACGTTACATATTTTTTTTTCGTGATAAGATTACAATGAACCCGGAAATCAAATTATATCTTTTTCTTTTCAAAAACTTTGTGACCGCGTTCTGAGTGTCTGCGTTCGCTGGGCGCTAGATTGGGAATAAGCAGCGTTTCTGACTCATGACTTGGTTGTAGCCAAGTGCGGTGCGAAAGGTACATTCTTCTTTAAATGCGTGATTTCAAGCTTAAAAAAGATTGCCACGTTTCTTTCCTTTTTTTTTTCATATTAAGAGGTTTTGGTAAAATAGGATCTGATATAATTGTAGCTTGAACGATTTTGACGATGTTGGCGCGGGCGATGTTGGCTCGGGAAAAACCTAGGGCCATACTTCATTTCGGGTCAGTGACAGCCTCGACGAGCTGAGGCGGACGTAAGTTTCATAAAGGTGTGTTTTTGCTGTGAGCCTTGTCGCTCCTTAAAATCTCCGCAACTTTCATCAAGGTGGATATGGGATCCCTTGTTTTAGAGATTATACAGTCAGTGGTTCAAGACAGGTCTGTTTTAGCCTGCTTTGTTTGTGCTGTTCACAAGTTCGTCACTAAATCCTACACCCCAGGATTTTCAATCAGTTGTCCCTTCAAAGTTAAGTGGTCAAACACGGCAGTCTAATGCTCCTCGCATTAATAGTGTCTACTTGATATTCTTAGCATACGGGGGCATTCCTTTTGCCTCCAGTCAGCTATTAATTTTTTAAATAAATATTTGCATATCGTTCATTGTCTTCGGTGTTAATCGAATAAACACAGGTTAGTGTCATCGGTATACGTTAGCCAGTTTAGGAGTTCGGAATGCCAAAAATATTGTTTAGATAGACAATAAACATACATGGTCCTAAAGTAAAACCCTGCAGAACGTCATCTTTAACTGTCATATAATCAGATGAAAAAATACCATTAATTTATTTGTGCAAGTTGCTTGTAATTGCTTACAAAAACCACCTATTATTATTTCTCCTGCATTACACTTATGCCATAGTGAGGCAATTTTTGTTACAACATGTCATAATTGATACTGTGCATTGTTTTCCGGAAATGCAAGTCTATGCCAAGTGCAAGTTTTTTGCTTGCCAGAGTGGCTTGAAATCTTAATTTTCATACATAGAAATGCATGCCTAGTCGAATCTTCCTTTTGGAATCTGTACTGAGCTATTGAAAATATCCAACGTGTTGTTACGAAAATTTGTAATCTCCTATTTATAGTCGCTCAAACACTCTTGCAACTATAGGAGCACAATTACCGGACGGTAGTTGCTATTTACTTTTATATTATTCATTAAAAATGGGATGACTAGTCAGACGGACGAAGACGTTTTACAGCACTTAAAGATTGTTATGACACAGCATTTACTCTGCAACGGTTTATACTAGGACGCTGCAAGTGTAGCAAAGTAACTCTAGTCAACGTCTCCTTAAAATGCATAAATAAAAATATAGACTACAAAACCTCGTAATAGCATCGTAGTAATAAAACATAAGCAATATAGAAACACTGCTGAACTGCGATATAATATCTGAGGGTATTCTCTTCAGGAGAGCAGATATTGATGTTTTTAACCCAAATTTCGCAGCTTTTAAGACTTTTGTGACTAACCTGTGAACATTTTGTTGTGCATCATTACCAGGGCGTCAGGCTGTTCATGAGCACAGAAAATAAACAAATGAATGAAAATGAATGAATGAATAGTAAAAATTAGAACTCATTACCACATCAGAAACTTCAACAATCTTTACAATGAGAACGTACCTGGAATGCTGAAAAATAATATTATAACGCCCAACGTCTAACACCATACCCTTAAATGAACCACCGATTGGGTCCGGTATCGCCACATATTTGCGACCAAATCAAATCAAATGAATGTCTATTTTCCCGTTATGCTAACCAACAGCTCGAAAGTCTATATATTGTGTTAACTTTTACGAACATTGGTCCAAACGCTACATTATGAGATACCTTTGAGCAAACGCAATAAAGTATCACTTTCCATTATAAGATGCATAACATATTCCATTGGCTTACGTATAAATACAGACACGAGCTTAATTGATAGAACGTTGAAGTGATCATCTACACTAGCGTTCTTAGTTCATTGCTGTAATGACCGCCTCAACATCCGTAGAGGTGAACTGGTGCATTTGCTCAATGGTGTATCATAATGTAGCGTTTGGACCAATTTTCATAGAAGTTAACCCAACCCAATAGGCTTTCGAGCTGTTGGTTAGCACAAGAAGAAAATAAACATTGATTTGATTTGATTTGATTTGATTGCAAATATGTGGTGATTTCGTACCCAATCTGTGGTTCATTTATGGGCGCGGTGTTAGAAGTTGGGTGTTATAATATTATTTTTGAGCATTCCAGGTACGTTCTCAATAATTGTAAAGATTGTTGAAGTTTCTTATGTGCTAATGAGTTCTAATTTTTTATTATATCGCAGCTCAGTTTGTTTCTATATTGCTTATGTTTTATTACTACGATGCTATTGCGAGGTTTAGTAGTCAATATTTTTATTTATGCATTTTAAGACGTCGCTGACTAGAATTAATTTGCTACGCTTGCAGCGTCCTGGTATAAACCGCTGCAGAGGAAATGCTGCGTAATAACAATCTTTAACTGCTGTAAAGAGGCTTCGACATTCTGACTAGTCATCCCGTTTTTCCAGTTTGTCTCTGATATTAAATGGCGACATGGTTTAATATAACGGTGATTAATATTACGAAACCTTTTAGCAATTGATTGTAATAAAATAGAGCAAAATCAAAGGTGTGAGAGGAATCAGAGCAAAAAAATTGCCATTCTTATCATGTATATGGAACCATAATATACCGCATTCTTCATGTCACATCATCTGCAGTTGGTTTTTGATCTCTGCGAAA